CGACCAATGCAGAAATTTGTTTTGCTTCACTATACATGTCTGTAATAAGAGTTTTGTTTTTCTTTCTTCCTAAAATTGGTGGGCAAAAGAGGGGAAAGAAAGCAGATTTTTGCTTACTGAAAAAAATAAACTCTGAAAAAAATTAAGGTTAAGTCTATAAGAAGCCAAATGTAACACCAAATTTTTCCCTAAATTTCCTCTCTCAGTGTTTTTTGGCACAGCACACCATATGCCATAAATACCAACACAGAACTGGGTTCTGGCAAAAACCACTTAAATGAACTTTATTGTTTTTAATATCAAACTAAATGAAATGAAGTCAACATGACTGCACATGTATACTAGGTTATCATATTTCTTGCCTTCTCAATGGATGACAGTGGAGGTGGAGGAAGGGAGAGAATTTGGAACTGAAAATGAAAATTTTTAAAAGGAGAAAAAAATATCAAACCAAATAATCAAGTCTAAGCTGGGGAAATGTTCTATCACACCCAATCTCAAATACTATCTTCTTTATAAAGAGTTTTTTTAGGACTTAAGAAAAATATGTTAAAGATTATTTTTTAAAAGTTTTATACAGGGGCAGCTATGAAATCAGGAGGACCTGAGTTCAAATCCAGCCTCAGACTAAACACTTGACACTTACTAGCTGTGTGACCCTGGGCAAGTCACTTAACCCCAAATGCCTAAAAATAAAAAAATTTTAAAAATTTAAAAAAATGTAAAAAAAAAGTTTTATATGTGTGTAATTATATGTGTATGTGTGTACACACACACACACACACACACACACACACACACATACATAATATATCTCAGAATCTTCTCCCATGCCAACTTAGGTGAAAAATTATTGATGGCACCAAAACAATTCACAGTAACTCAAACTTCAAGAGTCCTCTCAATCAATAAACCAAGTAGCAAATATTTATTAATTGACTATCATGTGCCAGGCACATGGAAAAACAAGACAAACATGAAAGAGGATCTTTCAAAGAATCTACATTCTACATAGGAAACAAACTAAGCAAAAATAACACACACAAAAGTGAATACTTTTGTACTGACGGGGCAAGGCAGGGCGACCTCCCCCACCCCCCACAACCCAACTAAAGAGATTAAAGAAAAAGGAAAAAGACCTACATAGATAAAAATATTTACAGCCATCTCTTTTTGTATTGGCAAAGAACTGGAAACTGAGGGGATATCCTTCAATTGAGGAATGGCTGAAAAAATTGTGGTAATGATTGTGATGGAATACTATCATACTGTAAGACATGATTAGGGGAGTGGCTTGAGAAAAACCTGAGAAGACTTCTATGAACTGATGCAAAGTAAAGTGAACTGAACCAGGAGAACACTGCATACAATAACAGAAATATTGTAATGATGATCAACTGTGAAAGACTTAAGTACTCTGATAAATATAATGATCCATGACAATTCCAAAGAACTCGTGCTGAAAAATGTAAGAGAACTGATGGAACTCTAAGTGCAGAGTAACGCATATATTTTTCACGTTCTTTATTTTTCTTGCTTTTTTTCTTTTCTTGTTCTGCAACAGGGCTAATATGGAAATATGTTTTGTATGTCTTCAAATGTATAATAGATATTATATTGCTTGCCTTTTCAAGGGGTGGGGGAGGGGCTGCAGGGAGAGAATTTAGAACACAAAATTTTTAAATGAATGTTAAAGTAATTAAAATAATAAAGAAAATAGCATGACTTTGGATTTTTAATACCATCTGTTATTTAATAAACATTGATCAGAGTACACTAGACAAGCCTGATGTGACACAAGGATACAACTTAAATTAAAAGAATAGAAATGCTGAAGGGCGAAACCAAGATGGCAGATTAGAGGCAATCCAGCTAAAGCCTCTCAACATTCCCTCCCAAACAATTACAAAATAATCCTCAAATCAAATTTTGCAGTGGCAGAGCCAACAAAATGTCAAGATTAGATATTTTTCTAGCCTAAAAAAACTTAGGTCAGCAAGAGAAGTTTGTGACACCAGGGCAGAAGCCTGTCCAAAGTGTACACAGGCAGTAGCAACAGCAGCTTTGGGAGCTCTCAGCCCACAGACTGAAAGAGGGTCAGACAACTGGTCAGAAAAAGAACAGAGATCTCCGATTCCTTTGCTGGCACTGGGTGTACAGGGGCACTGCTTGGCAGGCAACTCTACTGTTCAGGAGCCCTGGTTGCAGTTCCAAGACAAAGAGAACATTAGGGCCTGTGGCTGCATGGACCAGGGGTCCTTCCTGGGTAAAGACCACAGTGCAGACCAAGAGAGCAGTGACCACACCTTTCTCAGGATCATACCACATTGGAAACACCAAAAACTTGCAGATCTCCAAAACTAGCTATGAAAACAACATGAAAAAGCCTGATGCTTAGGACAGTGCCTCCCCACCCCAGGTGAACAGAGCCGAACAATAATATAAAGTTCAAAGTCAAGAAAAAGGTTGGAAAAATGAGCAAACAACAACAAAAAAAAAAAGAATCTAAACATAAAAAGCTACTAGGGTAGCAGAGAAGACCAAGACATAAAGAAGAAGACAACAATGTGAAAATAGCTACAAAGCCTCAAAGAAAATGCTAATTGGACACAAACCCAAAAAGAATTCCTGAAAAAGTTAAAGAAAGAGATAAATGATAGAGGAAAAATTGGGAAAAGAAATGAGACTGATGCAAGAAAATTTTTAAAAGAGAATTAACAGTTTGGCATAAAGGTAAACACGAAAGAGTAATCATAAAGGTCTCAATAAAGTTAAGCTGCTTACATTCCTATATGGGATACATATAACTCCTAAAAACTTTATCATTATTAGGGCAGTTGAAACGAGTTTACACAGACAGAGGGTATAGGTGTTAATTATGTTGAAATGATCTCCAAAATGAAGGAGTGAGAAAAAGGGATGCGGTAGGAGAAGGGGGAAGGAAGAGGAAGAATGGGGGAAATTATCTCACATAAAAAAGGCATGCAAGGAAGAGCTTTTACAGTAGAGGAGAAAATGGGACAGTGGAAGGCAATGCTTGAACCTCATTCTTATCAGAATTAGTTCAAACAGGGAAGAATATATACACACAGTAAGTTGCGTATAGAAACATAATATATATATATAGAAATATAACTTAGAGGGAAATAGAAGGGGATAAGAGAAAGGGGAGCATGATAAAAGAGAGGGTGGATTGAGGGAGGCAGTGGTTAGAAGCAAAACAGACTTTTGAGGAGGGACAGGATAAAAAGAGAAAGAAGAAACAGAAGAAAATGAGATGGAGGGGAAAACAGTTAGAAATCATAACTGTGAATGTGAATAGGATGAGCTCACCCATAAAAAAGAAGCAGGTACCATCCAACAATATGCTGTTTCCAAGAGATACACTTTAAACAGAAACACACATTCAAAGTTAAAATAAAGGGCTGGAGCAGAATATGCTTCAGATCAACTAAAAAAAAAAGGCAAGGAGGGATAGCAATCACGATATCAGACAAAGCAAAGCAAAACTAGACCTAATTAAAAGGGATAATTAGAGAATTTTGTTAAAAGGTACCATAGACAATGAAGCAAGTTTTCTGACAGACCTCATTTCTCAAATATATATATTGAGGATAGAACTGAGTCAAATTTATAAAAATAAGAACCATTCCTGAATGGTCAAAGGATATAAACATGCAGTTTTCAGAAGAAGAAACCAAAGCTATCTATGGTCATATGAAAAAATGCTCTAAATTACTGATTAGATAAAGGCAAATTAAACACCTCTGAGGGACCACCTCACACCTATCAGAAATGACAAATGCTGAAGAGAATGAGGGGAAAATAGGCACACTAATGAACTGCTGGTGGAGCAGTGAATTGGTCAACCATTCTGGAGAACAATGTGGAACTAGGCCCCAAAGGGCTATAAAACTGTACATATCCTTGGACCCAGCAATACCACTACTAGGTCTGTATCCCAAAGAGATCAAAGAAAAAGGAAAAAGATTTCTATGTACAAAAATATTTATAGTAAGCTCTTTTCTTTTCCAAAGAACTGGAAATCAAGGGGATGCTCATCAATTGGGGAATGGCTAAACAAGTTATACCATATGACTGTAATGGAGTACTATTGTGCTATGGGAAATGACAAGGGGGACAGTTTCAGAAAAACATGACAAGACCTATATGAACAGATGCAAAGTGAAGTGAAAAGAACCAGGAGATCATTATACACAGTAACAGCAATGTTGTATGATGATCAACTGTGAAAGACTTGGCTATTCTGATCAATATAATGATCCAACACAATACCAAAGGACTCATGATAAAAAAAAAAAAAATGCTATCTAACCTCAGAGAGAGAACTAATGAACTTTGAGTAAAAACTGAAGTATAATTTTTTCACTTTCTTATAGGGGCAGCTAGGTGGCTCAGTGGATAGAGGACTGGCTCTGGATTCAGGAGGACCTGAGTTCAAATCCATCCTCAGACATAAGGCACTTAAACCCATTTCCTAACCAAAAAAAAAAAACAAACAAAAATAAAATATGGTTTATATGGAAATATTTTTGCATGATTTTACATGTATACTTGATATCATATTGCTTGCCTTTTCAGTGAGTGAGAGAGAGAATTTGGAACTCACAATGTAAAAAGAAAATAATGTTTAAAATAAACAATATTTTTAAAAGAGAAAAAAAAATCCTTTTAACTTGTTCTCTCCAGCTATTCTAAAACCAGTAATAAGGTAAGAACCTACTGTGGCCCTTCTACTACCAAGCCAGCCACAACTCTGCCATTACACCCAGGAGTGAGCACAAAGAATCCCAGCCCCTGCCTACATCATTTTTAGATTCCTTCCTTGTAAGGAACTGAAAAAGTCATTAACTTGAGACAAATTACGACGACTTAAAACTATTTCCCTTTCGATGGCCACAAGATGTCAGTGCAGGCACAGGGATAAATTGAGCAGGAGTCTTCCCAGCGCAGGAAAAAAGCCTAAGAGAGTTGCTTACATTCACTCCAAAGTCCGGGGATGTCGAACTCCAAATGGCCCCAATGCTTGCTGCAGCCAGCATCGCTTCCACTGCATAAACACTGTTTGGTAAATAGCCTGAAACAAAGGAATGCAGGACATGTGACTACAGGATACACCGAAGTAATCTCTGCTGCATGAGAGTGATGCCTTGGCTACTTTCCCAAACTCTCCCTGTCCTGGCTCAGGTACTTCTTAGGCCAGAGGTGAAAAAATCTTATTGTTCTTATCCAGAGTAACCTCCCCAGAAGCACAGGTGTGACTGGGCCCATGAATTAAAAAGTGGACACGTCACCCCCAAATATTGCTCACTCTATAGGAAACAAAGGTCAGAAGCAAATCAAGGGTATTGAATTTCCCACACTAATGAGGGTGCTCAATAACTACTAGGTAATGCTAGAGGAGGCACACAGAGGCACTAAAGCAAATTCTGACTGAATTTGTTCTTTCATTCATTTAACAAGCATTTATTTATTGAGTACCTGCTTAGTATGTAAAAGGAAGACCCTCTGCATTTCTTGGCAAACATGCTAAGGGGCCACAGATGGGGAGCTATGGCCAAATATCATTCCAGATGCTATTTCCACCATCAGAACAGGAGTGAATACAAGTCAACAAAACAATGGTGTTACTTGGAGATAAACTTGGCTGTTTTTCAATGCCAGTTGAATCACCTATTTTTAAAAGTTATTGATACCTTTTGTTTCTACATCACATTCATTTCTAAATATATCCCATCTGCCCCCTTCCCCTTCCCAGAAAACTAACCTTGGTAATAAGGATGAAAAGAAAAATTTCACCAAAACAACCAACAAACTGACTGACTCTGAGTGACAGCCCTCACCCACAATCATCTCCTAACCCACCTCAGCCCTACACACACACACACACTCTCACTCTCTCTCTCTCTCTCTCTCTCTCTCTCTCTCTCTCTCTCTCTCTC